CACTCACCTCGGCCTCCCAAAGCGCGGGATTACAGGCTGAGCCACTGAGCCCGGCCTATTTTTATTTTTAATCTTAAACATGTGGGGTATAATTTAGGATTGGGTACACTAATGTTCATTAAGCAGGTACCCTTGTTGATGAGGTGTGCCCCCACCCCCACCAGCAGATCCCTACTGCCAATCCCACCTTCCCTGCCAACCACCCAGCAGCTTCCCACTAGTGCCAATAGCTTTCTTATAGTTTTACGATATTTGTCCAGTCCATTTATGAGTGAGAACATGTGAGTTATTTGTTTCTGTGATAGATCACTCAGTACTATAGACTCTGAGTCCATCCAGGTTGCTGCAAAGTTCATAATTTTGTCCTTCATGACTGTAATATTCCATCATGTATACGTACATTTTTTAATCCAGTCCTTTTTCAACGGGCAGCATGGCTGGTTCCTTGTTTCTGCTATTGTGAACAATGCTGCAATAAGCATATGTGTGCAGGTGTCTTTTTCAGAGTGATTTGAGTTTCCCCAGGTATATTACCAGTAGGGGGATTGCGGGATCGTACGGAAGGTCAATTTTTGGATCTTTTAGGAATTGCCAAACTGTTTTCCACAGAGGTTGTATTAGTTTACACTCTCACCAACGTGTAGAAGTGTTCCTTTCCCCACACCCTCTCCAGCATCTGTTGTTTGAGTTATTGATGATGGCCATCCTGGCTGGAGTTAGGAGGTATCTCAGCGTAGTTTTAACTTGCATTTCTTTGATGACTAGTGAGGCTGAGCATTTATTTCCTCATGTATGTGTTGGTTGCTTGTATGTCTTCTTTTGTGAAGTGTCTATTCATGTCTTTTGCCCAGATTGGAAAATTTCAATTGACCTGTCTTCAGCTCCACTGATTCTTCCTACTGCCTGCTCATATCTGTTATTAGAACCCCTCAGTGATTTCCCCCCTTCACTGTTGTACTTTTCAGCTAATTTGTATGGTTCCTTTTGTACTGTCTTTCTTGACAACTTTTCTTGACATCCTCTATTTGTTGAGACAGGGTTTCCTTAGATTCCATTAGCTCTATGAGCATACTTGAGACAGTTGATTTTAAAATGTGCAAGTCAGCCAGGCTTCGTGACTCAGCCTGTAATCCTGCACCTTGGGAGGCTGAGGTGAGTGAATTGCTTGAGTCTGCGGGTTCGAGACCCGCCTGGGCAACTTGGCGAGTCCTCATCTCTACAATAAATCATAAAAATTAGCCGGTGTGGTGGTGCACACCTGTAGTTCCAGCTACTTGGAAGGCTGAGGCGGAAGGATCGCCGGAGCCCAGCAGGCCGAGGCTGTGGTGGCCGGAAGCGGCCACTGCACTCCAGTCTGGGCAACACAGTGAGACTCCAACTCAAAAAAAAAAAAACAAAGTGCAAGTCCAATGTCTATGCTTCGTTTTTTTTTCTCCTGTGAATGAGCTATATTTTCTTTGCATGCTTCATAGTTTCTTGTTGAAAGCTGAATACTACTTCGAATATTATAATGTGGGTAACCGGAAATCAGATTCTTCACTCTTCAGGGCTTGTTTTTGTTGCCTGCTGTGAGCGGTAGTGGTTTGTTTAGTGACTTTTCTGAATTGTTTGCGTAAAGCCTCTTTTTCTTACATGGTCTCTAAAATCTGTTCCTTTTGCTTGTGTTCAGTCCACATGTTGATAGAGACTTCCTTGAATACTAGTTGCTAAAAAATATGTATGTATATAACAAAAAAAACTCTCCGAGTTTTTGCTAGTTGGCTGTGCTGGGAGACACCTTCAATGCTTAGCCAGGTCATTTTCAATCTGCCTTTGCCTTTACTTTCTGCTTGCCCTGAGCCTGGAGACCAACCAGACATGAATTCTTAGGCTCTTCTTAGGTCTTTTCTGAATGTGCATCCTGCTCTGGGTATGTACATGGCTTTCTAAATTCTCCAATATATGCACAGGTGCTTTTGAATGACCTAATTTCCCTAAGAATTTCTCTGCTGCTTTTCCTCTCAGGCTTTAGGCACTCCTTTGTTTACCTCAACTATAATTTTTTTGATCCAAGTGGTAGTGGGTAGTGCATTTGCCTTACAGTATTTAGGGAAATGCCTGTTACTTCACACTGATTGAGTTCTGAGTTGGATGAAACAAAAGTGCCCTGTGTCAGTCCTTCATGTTGCCCTGACAGGTTAGAACAAGCATGATCTTTTAAGAGTGAGATCTCTTCTCCTTAGAAACTGAGGACTGGGACCCAGGCAGAGAATGTGGGCTGCCATCTTTAAGCCTGCTGCAGAACCGAGGAGGGGAATGGAGAAAGGGCAGGTGGAACACTGCAAAGCTTTCCTTGTTTCTAAATGGCCATTCTAAATTCAGCATATGCTTGGGGACTTTAAACCCTTGCCTATTTTCCAGAGTTCTGAGAAAGTTGTTTCGGAATGTTTTTGCTTGGTTTCTGTGGAGGAACATGTCCTTAAAGCTATCTACTTTTCCATTTTCACTGATGCCACTCTCGAGTACATTTTGAGTACCTGACATTGTACATGAAAATCTGCATAGTTCATTTATGACTCTGGATGCTACAATTCTTTGGAGATTTCTTTTTGCTTCTGTCAGGCAGTTAAATTAATTGCACCAGCACTCTCAGATAGCCTTAAAACAGTCATGGAATGAAATGACTTAAAGCTGGGCTTCAGGCTGTGAGGGCTGATTTGTTTCTCATTGACCTTACACCTGAGGTATAGTCCCTTGGCGTGAGACCAAAAGCCTGGGTGTTCACCAGGGTCCTTCTTCTGTGGTGGTATCTGTATAGTTTATTTTAGGAATGTTAATGTAGCTTGCCTAACTCTGTAAACATATCTATTGCTACATGAGAAATTATGGGGCAAACAGGTTAATGCAGAAACCAAATTTATTAATCAAGGATTTACCAAGGGTAGTTTATTAGATATCATTCATAGCTTATGTTGACATCTGATTTTGCAGAGAAATTATAACTCTTACTTTATTAAGGTAATGGGTACTTCTACAAGGTAAATTTTGTTCCTAGAAGTAGCATATTTTCTGATTTTTCAATAGTTTGGTTTTAGCTATCAAAGTCAAATATACATTGAGTCAAACTCAACGTGGGCACAAAAGTCATTCTTTGTACACATATTCTTTCCAAGTGCTCTGGTTCTTCATGCTGAAACATCTCAACTTCCAGAAATATGACTGGCAGATCAGAAATGCCATAGCCCTTCTACGAGTTAAGATTTCAATAGAGAAAAAGAAACATGCATATTTTATTATATACAAATGAGGAAGAACAAAGTCTCATCATGTAAATGAAATAATATAAATTATAGACATAATTGGTAGTTTTAAAAAGTCCTCCAGTCACTGTGGTCCTCTCCAAAAGACACAGGCCTTAGAATGGGACCCCTGAGCCATTAATCAGCACTCTGGGTCATAGTTCTCCCACAATAGTGATTTATATTCTGGAGAAGTGGGTTTTCTGTGAACTCTGTGAGGACTCATGCGTTAGACCTCATAAAGGAATGAAATGTTTTCACATCTGGAGAAGTAAAAGTACTTAAGGAACACTTTCAAGGTAATGTTTATTGTTGACAGTGACTTTGAAAATAACCTCTAGAAAGTGTTAAAGATTTACAGGCAGATTCTGGCTACCTGAAAATAAGAAAGGGTTTCGTAGGTCTACAAATGGTTTGGTAAAAACCAAAAAGGGAAAAGTGAGGTGAACAGAAGGCAAAACGATGCATCACAGAAAGGAGGCAAGCTAGTGCAGACTTAAGTCACAGCGAGAAGAAACACAAGGCTGTCCTTTCCAAGGCCAATGTCAGTGACATGTGCCTATGTAAGCTCAAGCCCAGAAGAACAGCACAGTTCCTATATACTCACGACTTAATAATGTACAAGAAAAGTACTCTTCATTTGTTATAAAAGAGCTACTTTATATGAAAAGCTAGAAATATATATTTACAATGCACATCTCAGATGAAACCAAACTTAATACACAGGGAACTACAGGGATGACAGGAAAATGGGTAGATATTGAATGGAATGAAATTTACAGACCGCCTTGATATATTCTTTTTAAATCTATACACAAGGCTCAAGTTTTCAGGGCTTTATTATTTTTTTAAAATAAAATTTCTGACCCTCAGGTTAACTAAAGATTGATTTGAACTCGTAGAGGTAACCTGCTCTTTGTAGCAGAGTGCTCTGAGGTTTCTTCCACTTTAGACCTCTCCGCTGGGTTAATGCCTCTGTTTTCTTTGTCTTTTCCATGTGGTTTTTTATGCTGTGGATTTAAGTAGAAAAATTAAGTCAATATAAAGTAACATTTGATACACATCAGCTATACTATTTTCAAAGTTCTCTGGGTTAGAGGGAAAAAAACTTAAGAGTGGAGAACTTCAGAAGAGGCTCAGCACAAGTTTGAGGCAACAATTTGGCAAGTAGAGTCAAATGCCTTCTTTATTTTACCACTAACAGAAGTAGCAGAGTGAAATAAATATTTATTTCCTGTATTATTTTCTAAGATATAATTACAGATTTTACTGTAGGGTAGCAGTTCTCATCAGGGAGTGATTTTGCCACCTGGGACATTGGGCAATGTCTGAAGACATTTTAGCTGTTATAACCAGAGTGCTGCTGGCTTCTAGTGACTACTGACATAATACATTGTCATTCTAGTCATTCTACAATCCACAGGAAAGCCCGCCACGACAAAAAATTATCCAGTTTAAAATATCAATAGTGCTGCTGTTGAGAAACCCTACTCTAAGGGAACAAGAATTTGCTGTTGTGCAAGAAATCCAATTCTATTTAAAGCAGAGAAGCTGGTGTATGGGCTACCTTAAGCACTTTTGTTTTGATTGTCTTTAGGACTTAAAAAAAAACCACTTTTGCTTATCTTATTTTTTATGTATTTTATCTTATTTTTAAAATCTATTTCCTGTTCATATTACACATTGAGACTGGTGACCTTCATTGTGCACTCAGTCATCAATGCTGAGATAAATTACAACCCAACTTGAAAAGTTTTTACTCAGAGAAATGCCCCCATCAGACTGCTACTAGAGAAAAGATCATTTCTGAACTTAGCAGAAGGTCCAAAACCCAATCCCAAATCCTTTCTGTTACTGTTGAGGCTTCCTTGCCATAGTGAAATCACTAAATCTAGCTTTCAAAATGCCAAAAACAACAATAATGAAATAATTTCTGACTAGGGACTAAGTGGTCACTAAAGTTTTCTTATCTTTTCCCCATTTTATAAGATAAAAGAGAGGGATGAAAAAGTGAAAGAAATAGATTTACAGTTCTCTAATAGTAAATAATAAAGCAAAAGCCAGGCTCGGTGGCTCAGCCTGTAATCCCATGCCTTTGGGAGGCTAAGGTGAGTGGATTGCCTGAGCCCGCGGGTTCGAGACCTGCCTGGGCAACTTGGCGAGACCTCATCTCTACAATAAATCAAAAAATTAGCTGGGCATAGTAGCGCATGCCTGCAGTTCCAGCTACTTGGAAGGCTGAGATGGAAGGATCGCCGGAGCCCAGCAGGTCGAAGCTGTGGTGGCTGGGAGCGGCCACTGCACTCCAGTCTGGGTGACAGAGTGAGACTCCAACTCAAAAAATAGTAATAATAATAATAAAGCAAAAAAGGAAGGAAAAACTTGGAGATAAAATTGCCCAGAGACAGAGGTATTTAAGAGAATCTGAGCCAGCACTTTTAACAACTGAAATCAAGGATGGGGAATTTTCAGACCTTGAGGGAAAGACCTTCAAGTCTATTAAAAACAGGTACAGGCGTGCTCGGTGGCTCAGCCTGTAATCCCGAGCCTTGGGAGCCTGAGGTGAGTGGATTGCCTGAGCCCGCGGGTTCGAGACCCGCCCGGGCAACTTGGTGAGACCTCATCTCTACAATAAATCAAAAAAATTAGCTGGGTGTGGTAGTGCACGCCTGTAGTTCCAGCTACTTGGAAGGCTAAGGCGGAAGGATCGGCAGAGCCCAGCAGGTCGAGGCTGTGGTGGCCGGAAGCGGCCACCGTACTCCAGTCTGGGTGACAGAGTGAGACTACAACTCAAAAAAAAAAAACAAACAGGTACAAGCAAAGACACATCAGAAGCAGTGCTTCAACTGTAAAATATGGACATCAGTGTCCTACATAAAGTTTTGAGGTAACTGCATGATCAGTGTTGGATACCTAACCCTGAATTGTATCCCACATCTTTACAATAAAAGTAAAAATTAAAAAAAAGAAAATTTTACTTTGCATACTCTGTCTAGGCTCATATCCTCAAAGTACAGGGAAAGATGCCAGGCAGTTTACAGTGCTGAGCTCCCAACAATATGAAGGGGCTAAGAGAGGTAACAGGATTTCATTACATAGGAACAGGAAACCTGGAGCAACAGCTAATAGGGAAAGAGCCTCAGACAGGAGGAATCACTAACACAATCTCCTCCGGTCTCTCAATCTTTTAAACTCCTTGGCCTTCAAAATCTGATTATAGGCAGAGATAGGCTCCAAGACCTCCATGTCAAAGTAGAGGGAAGAGAGAAATGACTGCTCTGTGTCCATTCTGAGGATATAGGAAGCAGACAGGCAATAAATATAATGGTTAAAGATTACCAGCCAAGGATACAGATTAAGTCAAAAGCGGCCTTTATCCTATAGAAAACGCCTTTATCAATATCAGGCTTGTGTAAATAATTTAAATTGGAAGCATTAACAAGCCATCTCAAAGGAACAGCTGAAAAGTTTTTGTTCTACTCACCAAGTATAATGTCTTTATATTGACTAGCAAATGAATGACTTACATCAGATGTGGAAGGGTTATCCCATACAATAGAATCAGGTACCTGGAAGAATGGAACCCCGCCAGCTGATGAACACTCCACACCCACATCTACAGATGGCTCCTGATTCACAGGATCTTCAATATACTGTTCCAGAACTGCCTTTTCTATGTCCATGTCCTAAAATAAGAAGCTGGATGAGTGACTATGTCCAAGGGCTCAAAAGTCATCACAGAGGGTGGTTTTCTTCTTTGACTATAACAGAGTGCTCACTGCATAAAAGTTAACCTCGCCGAGCACAATGGCTCAAGCCTGTAATCCCAGCACTTTGGGAGGTGGAGGTAAGAAGATTGCCTGAGCTCAGAGATTCAAGGCCAGCCTGAGAAATACAGTGAGACCTTGTATCTACAATAAAAACCAAAAAAACAAAAAATTAGCTGGGTGTGGTGGCACATGCCTGTGGTTCCAGCTACATGGAGGGCTCAGGCAGAAGGATCGATCACCTGAGCCCAGCAGCTTGAAGCTGTGGTGGCTGTGAGCATGCCACTGTACTCCAGCCTGGGCGACAAGAGTGAGACTCCAACTCAAAAAAAAAAAAAAAAAAGTTCACCCCAACAAAATCAGCAGTCTACACATTAATCAAAATAATTCCTAATATATTTTTACTTAGAGGTTCCTATACTAAAATGTTAATAAGCACAATATTAAATATTGGACATTATTATCTACTAGTCTAATAATTTTAAAACTGATAAGATTAAAAGAAACAAGCTTAAGGGTCAGGCAACTATCACTAATAAGAGGCAAGGTAAGATTTAAGGGTAAACAGTACAATTCCTCACATGAAGTTGACCACATGAAGAGTTCATAGGCGAGTTCTAATATTATGATCCTTTACATATTTATTTTTGAAAGTAGGATTTATTGAGAGGACAGAAAAGCTTCCATAGCAAGAGGGGACCTGAGGGGATTGCTTATTATGATTCTTTAAACTTCACCTGATTGGTCTCTTTTTTGGTCTCCGAACAGTTTAGCTTCATTAACAGCTCAGGCTGTTTTCTTTTCAACTGATCAAGGAGATGTTCACGTGGTTCAGTTCTCACCAGTGTTGATGGGTAGACGTAATTTTTTCTCTGTGGTGTTGTGCCTTTAGTGGACATGAGATAAATTAGAAAAATAAGTAAGTTTTTTTTTAATGCTAAAACGTTTACTTCTAGGTGAGTCCTGTTCTCCAGAAATATGACAATTGCCATTACATGAGAATCACTATTGTACCTGTCAGGCACATAGTGCTTGCAACTAACACTATTTTCTAATTTGACAACTGACCTTAAACAGACATGACTATTTTCAGGATCCATCATACTCCCAAAACATGACATTTTCCATTAAGAGTTGTGTTGTAGGCTCTAAAAGTGTTCTGAAAAACTATCATTATTAGAACAAGAGAATCTGTTACCAACATGATTACTGTGTTAGGAGTAATCACTTCACTATAAATGTGGTATGGTGGTTAAATATTAACCAGTTATATATAATGAGCTCACACTCTCATAATTTACAAAGTCACTTGCCTTCTCACTCAACATTTACATTTCCAATTTCTCTGAAAAGTGAACAATAAATCTTACATGTCTTTTGGGGAAAAAAAAAGAAACCAACATTCTATAGCACCATCTCCTTTTATAATTGCTTTTTAAATTAAAAATCAGCTTTGAGGTATAACTTACATAACATAAAATTCACTCATTTTAAGGGTACAATTCAATGATTTTTAAGTGGGTTTACATGGTACACAACTATCACCACAATTCAGTGAAGAACTCAATTATTCATCCTGCATAAAACAGCTTGATACAGCACTTCCACAAAGACCTTCCTGCATCATTAAAGCCTGTACTGATCTCTCAAAACAGTGATTCCTAAATGTTAACAGTTCATGATAAAAGGACAGAGATGTGATGAACTTTGCATTAAACTAGATTTAATCCAATATTTATGGTATTAAAATGCCTTTTTACAAACGGTACTAAGTAGATTTTTAAAAAAATTGTCTCCTCCTAACAAAGTCAATTCCCTGAATGTTTGTGAAATTTGACTGAATTGTGATGCCAACACTTCTAGGAGCACAGGCCACCTACCCCATGAAGCCCTAATGCTTGATTAAAACTTATTTCAGAGCCGGGCTCGGTGATTCAGCCTGTCATCACGCGCCTTTGGGAGGCTGAGGTGAGTGGATTGCCTGAGCCCGCGGGTTCGAGACCCGCCTGGGCAGCGAGACCTCATCTCTACAATAAATCAAAAAATCAGCCAGGCGTGGTAGCGCATGCCTGTAGTTCCAGCTACTTGGAAGGCTGAGGTGGAAGGATCACTGAAGCCCAGCAGGTCGAGGCTGCGGTGACGAGGAGCGGCCACTGCACTCCAGTCTGGGCAACAAAGACTCCAACTCAAAAAAAACTATTTCAGGGTTCCAGTTTTTCCGTATCTAAGTTGATTACAGTAACATGGTAAATTCCTATCAGACAACAGCACGACCCTGCTTTTCTGGACGCCTGGCATCGTATTGAATTTGACTTCAAAAGACTGAACAACTCTATTTCCCTTTGAAGTACCTGTCGGGACATCCAGTTTCAGATCCTGCTGCAGGAAGCACTGAAGTCTAGTCAAACCAACTGTGATCGTGTCACTAAGTTCTAGATTTTGTGCTGCCAATGCTTCTTCATCAATAGTTATCTGATCAAGAAAAGTGTTACGCTGGTTCTCATTAGCTGCTTTATAACCATTTAATTTTTCAGTGATCTCTGAACTTGAAGCCTCACAACACTGGTTTACAACCTGTAAATGACACAAGTTTGTGTTACAAAAATTAAAGTTGGCAGTGCTTTATTCAATATACCATTTTCCCTTACCTTGAAATTTTCCATAATAAAAGTTTTAAAAAACACATTTAAAAAGTAGAGAGAACAGTATAATTAACACCATCTTATTCATTTCCAAGTCTCAATATTTACCAATACATAAAAATAAACAAGACTAGCCTCACATACCCAGGAATATTTTGACGCAAATTCTGCATTTTTTCATTCATTTATTTCAGCATATATCTCTAAGAGTTAATAGCATTTTAAGACTAATATTATATATAAAAAGTTTAACATTGATTCCTTCATATTAAATCTCTAAGTCAGTGTTCAAATTTCACCAGATGTCTCAAATGTGTCATAACTGCTTTGTTTGAACCAGAATTCATCACTAAATTTGGTTGGTAAGGCTTAAGTAGATGACTATATCATTTATCATCCAAACCGGAACACTTTTTAGAGGGAGCTATAGGTTATCCTTCCTCATATTTTTTTCCCTTGAAAAACATTCTTATTGAAGAAACTAGGTCACTACCCTATTGAAGATCTCAAATTCTAGATTTTATCAATTGTACCTCTATGCTTTATCTTCTATAAACTGACTAGATCTAAAGGCCTAACTTGATTTGGGTTTAATATTTTAGTAAGACTATTTCATAGACAGTACTGAAAGTATATCATGCCTGGTTGTGTCTCTCATATTAAGATTAATCAATGGGTTTGGGTATGGTTAATTATAATTAATTATAAATTCTCCCATCAGCTTTTAATCAGACAGATTAAGCCAACAGGTGATCAATGTCCTATTTCATTAGGGGTTACAAAATGATGATATACTAATTCCATCATTTCTTCTTCATTTTATTAGCTAAGAGTCTATGAAACACTTTTCTTCATCAATTACCCTATTAAACCAAGATATGGCTTTTTTAGAAAGGCAGGTGAATGCTATATTGTATCTCTTCATTTACCAGTTTTCGGAACAATGCATTGTTTCCCTAGCATGATCCAAAGGAGATCTATAAAAATTGTATGATTTGGCCAGGCACAGTGGCTCACACCTGTAAAGCCAGCACTTTGAGGCCAAGGTGAGAGAATTGCCTGAGCCCAGAGCTCGAGACCAGCCTTGGCAACATGGCCAGACCTCGTCTCTACAATAAATAAAAAATATTAGCCAGGAATGGCAGCGTGCACCTGTAGTCCCAGCCACTTGGAAGGCTGAGGTGGAAGGATCACCTGAGTTCAACAGATCGAGGCTGAAGTAGCCATGATCATGCCATGATCATGCCAGCTTGGGTGACAGAATGAGACTCTGACTCAAAAAAAAATTATATAAATTATTGAGATTTAATACATTTTATGTCTTAATCCATTATAGCGATTATTCTTTTTGATGTGCAAATTATACTGTCATTCACCAGGGAGAGGTTAGTTGCTAAGTCCCTTTGACACAACCTCAGTAATCTTAAATAGTTTTCTTACTTTCTGGTATGACAAGATCTCTAGGCTCATATATTGTACATTTCCTGAAATTAGCTATTTTTCCATGAACTCTGGTTCCTTTGAGTGAAAATCACTTATATAGCTTAAAATATTTAAATTATTTACATCTATTTCCTGAGAATGTCAGCAAAATCCTCCTATTGCAAAGAAAGAAAAAAACAAGTCTCAAAGGGCTCATGCAAGTATTATGTTCAAGCAAACCCACAAACCTATGTAGTATACTTTAGCTACCAGAATAATATCCTAAAAACTTACAGCAATAATAAGTTTGAATGTACCAGGAGAAAAGTAAAAAGCGTATATAAGTGGAAGGTATGATATGTCAAAAGACAGGTTATTCTTTCCTGAAGAAATTTCCTGAAGAAATAAGCCAAAAACCAAGACTAAGCTGGGTGCCGTGGCTCACACCTATAATTTGGGAGGCCAAGGCGGAAGAATCACTTGAGGCCAGGAGTTTGAGACCAGCCTAGGCATCCCTACCTCTACAAAAAATAAATTAGCTGGGCATGGTGGTACACACCCATAGTTCTAGCCATTGAGGGCTGAGGTGGGAGGATTGCTTGAGCTCAGGAGCCAAGGGCTACAGTGAGACATGACCACACCACTGCCCTCCAGCATGGGTGACAAAGGGAGACCTTGTATCGGAACAAACACACAAACAAATAACAACAAAACAACCAAGGACAGATACAGAACAGAAACTGGACAAATGTTAAATTAATTTCAGTATCTAGAAGATGCATACCAAAACATGAAACAAGATCACGTATAAGCATACCAAGTATTATACTTAAAAGTTTAAGTCATTATTTCTTAAAATATCATCTGTTTTGAAACTAATTCTTAGGTAAGAATACGTAATTTTCTGATTACCACTATTCTCTCCAAAGTAAGTTCCAGTTACAAAGTTATTACCTGCAATAAGTTCTGAAGTTCCTGTTCCCTTTTATTTAAGGAAGATACCCACTGTTCAGCAAAATGAGCGGTGCTTGCGTTCAGAGACTCACATCTTTGTTTGGACTCTTGAAATATTTTTTCCACATTGCAACTGAGCTTATCAGAATGTTTCACAGACTCTTCAACCAATTTTGTACCTTCTTGGTTAAAATTTCTGAGTTCCTGTGACAAGCCATCAGAATTGGCACAAAATTTTTTACTGTGAGAAGTTGTTTTGTTGATTAGATGCTTAGATTTCCTGCAGAAAAAGAGAATGGCAATATTGAAATGGGAAACTAAGACTTAAAGGATATATAACTTCCCAAGGTCAGATAGCTCTTAAATGGCAGCTTTGAACGCAAGCAGCCTGGTCCCAAGGGCACATGCTCTTTCTGAATCTTCTACATTGAGAATGGATGCTTTGACCAGTATTTTTTCACAGTAGAGTGACATCACATCTGCCATTAAATGACCTTTGAAAAGATCATCTTTTCTCATGAAACCTTTCCAAGTCCACCTCCAGATAGGATGCTCTCCTTTGTGGCTCATACAGTATTTCACTATACAGCTATTAAAATAAAATTTGTAGGTTGGGTGTGGTGGCTCACGCCTGTAAATCCAGCACTTTGAAAGACAGAGGTGAGAGGATTGCCTGAGACCAGGGGTTTGAGACCAGCAAGGGCAGCTTGGCCAGAGCTCATCTCTATAATGAAAAATATTAGCCAGACGTGGTGGCACATGCCTGTGGTTCCAGCTACTTGGAAGGCTGAGGCAGAAGGATCGCCTGAGCCCAGCATGTCAAAGATGCAGTAGCCGTGAGTGTGCCCCCTGCCTTCCAGCCTGGACAACAGAGTGAGACTCTTACTTTAAAAATAAAATAAACTATAAAAAATAAAATAAAATTTGTCTACTTGCTTTATTTCTCCTACTAGACAATAGTACTGCAGGGCATCTCCTATAACCCCTGATCCATTCTCTAAATCGGCCAGTTATTCTGTTATTAAGCAATTTCCTTTGTTTATAAAATAAATAATAAACATTACAAATATGGTTTTAAAAAGTCAATTACAAAGTTTTCTAATAATTAAATAAAAATTACATTGGGGTGTGACAAATTATACATATAGCACATATAGAACAATGTAACATAAATTTGATATAAAAACTAATGTCAATCAGAATATACACTTAAAACTCATTGATGACTTCCTTCTCTCATTAAGTTTCCCTGCAATAACTTTCAAAGTCATCTCCCAGGCCGGGCTTGTTGGCTCAGCCTGTAGTCCCAGCACTTTGGGAGGCCAAGGCGAGTGGCTTGCCTGAGCCAGAGGGTTCAAGACCAGCCTGGGCAACTTGGCGAGACCTCATCTCTACAATAAATAAAAAATTAGCCAGGTGTAGTAGCATGCACCTGTAGTTGAAAGGCTGAAGTGGAAGGATCAACAGAGCCCAGCAGGTAAACACTAGAGTGGCTGTAAGTGTGCCACTACACTCCAGCCTGGGCAATGGAGTGAGATTTTAACTCATAAAACAAAAATAAAAAAACAAAGTCATCTCCCAGGACCAGTTAACTATGGAATGGAAGTTACCCTCTATTACCACTAGATGGCACACCATGTGAGTCAACCAAATGAGTAAGCAAAGATGTTGAAAAGCAAACCTATAAATAAGGTGGAAATGATTGAAAAAGGAGGAAATGATTGAAAAAGGAAAAGAAATATAAGTGACAAACTTAGAGACTATCAACATAAATCTCTCCCCACAAGAACTCACAACAGCCGGATGCAGTGGCTCATACCTGTAATTCCAGCACTTTGAGAGGTGGAGGTTAGAGGATTGCCTGAGCTCACGGGTTCGAGACCAGCCTGAGCAACATAGTGAGAACTCGTCTCTACAATAAATCAAAAAATTAGCCAGGCATGGTGGTGCATGCCTGTGGTTCCAGCTACTTGGAAGGCTGAGGTGGAAGGATCACCTGAGCCATGCAGGTTGAGGCTGGAAGTGGCTGTGAGTGTGCCACTGCACTCCAGCCTAGGGGACAGAGTGAGACTCCAACTCAAAAACAAACAAACAAACAAACAAAAATAAAAAACTCACAACCAAAGTGGGAAGATGAGATTTAGTTAAAAGTGACTATAAATGCTAAAGGCAGTTATGTTCAATATACGTAAACATCACCTAGATTCCTGGGTGATTCTGATGCAGAGTCCTTGGACCACACTGACAAACACTGGTGTAGACAACATAAGTCAGGAAGGCAGGAAAAATAACCTGCAGAGGTCTTAACTTCCCTTCCCACATCAATTCTACCCCAGTATTTCCTCTAAAGCTAAGGAAGGCGTCAGAAATCCATCAGTCTAGACACTAGGACTAAAAAGTAGAAAATACTTTGTAGACTCGGAATCTAGAAAGAGTTCACATTGGAACATGCTATACTGAATAGGATTAACAACAGCATTGAGAAACACATTACAGAAGTTAGGTAGTAATACATACGTGAGAGCTAGAATTCTAGAACAGTACTGTGCAACAGAAATATAAAATGAGTGACATTTGTCATTTAAAAATTTCTAGCAGACACATTAAAAAAGAAAAAAGATAAGGCAATTTAAGTAACAATGTATTAAGGTGTATGTGCCTTACATACAAGTAAAATATATTAAAATAATGACACATATGGGAAGGAGAAAATGGGAACATACTATTATAAAGTCCTTTCACTACATATGAAATAGCAAATCATTTGATAATAAATTCAAATTATTTAAATCTTAGAAAAATCACTAAAAAAGGAAGTGCAAAAAGTAAAAGTAAGTCCGTGGAAAAGATAAAATGAAGACAAAAAAAACTTAATTTAAATTAGGAAAGGCAGACCAGGCGTGGTGGCTCACGGTTGTAATCCCAGTACTTTGGGAGGTAGAGGCGAGAGGATTGCCTGAGCCCAGGGGTTCGAGACCTGGGCAACTTGGCGAGACCGCCTTTCTACAATAAATCAAAAATTTATCCTGGCTTAGTGGCGTGTGCCTGTAATCCCAGCTACCTGGAATGGAAGGCTGAGGTGGAAGGATTACCTGAGCCCAGCAGGTCGAGGCTGTGGTAGCCTTGAGTGTGCCACTGCACTCTAGCCTAGGTAACAGACTGAGACTCCGACTCAAAATAATAATATTAACAAATAAATAAAAGTAAATTAGGAAAGGTAAAAAAGAGGAAAAAAGAACAAATGACACAACAAATAGAAAACAGCAAAATGGTAGATCTTAATACAACTATATCAATACTCATTTTTAATGTGAATGGTCTAAACAAATCAATTAAAAGTCATGGATTGTGATCGAGCATGGTGGCTCATGTCTGTAATCCCAGCACTTTGGCAGGTTAAGGCAGGAGGATTGCCTACTCCCAGAAGTTTGAGACCAGCCTAGGAAACAGAGAGACCTTGTCTCTACAAAAATTAAAAAAATAAGCCAGGTATGGTGGCAAGCACCTGTAGTCCCAGCTTACCCAGGAGGCTGAGGTACAAAGGATTGCCTGAACCCAGGAGGTCGAGACTGCAGTAAACTGTTGTGATAGTGCCACTGTACTCTAGCCTGGGCGAGAGTGAAACCTCAACTCAAAAAAATTCACGGCTGGGCACGGTGGCTCACGCCTATAATACCAGCACTTTGATGACATGAATTGACACATATAAAACTCTTCAGATATGTACAGAACACAACAAAAACAGAATAAAAATTTTCCCCATGTGGGGAGCAGCAAAGCATATCAGAATAACTGCAATAAACTGTCATTGGAACAACAGCACACAAAAAGCCAGGACCTGTACACTAAGGTCCAACAGGGAAACTGTCTGCTAAAAAAGAAGACTTAAAGGATCCTAAATCTCCTAATGTAATACCCCAAATGTTCAAGATACAAAACAAAATCACTCAGCTTATAACAAGAACCAGGAAAATCACAAGCTGAATGAGAAAGGATAATCAGTAGATCCCAACAATGAGAAAACTCAGATGCTAGAATTGCTTCCACAACCAATTGAAACACTCCTGAAAAAAAAATCTTAGCAAAGAAATAGAAGATATTAAAAAAAAAAAGAAGAGGAAGCAAATGACAGCAAAAGAAACAGAGCAGGTCAGGTGTGGTGGCTTAAGCCTATCCCAGCACGTTGGAAGGCCATTGTGAGAGGATTGCCTGAGCCTGCGGTTTGAGACCAGCCTGGGCAACTTGGCAAGACCTCATCTCTACAATAAATCAAAAAATTAGCCAAGTATGGTGGCATGTGCCTGTAGTTCCAGCTACTTGGAAGGCTTAGATGGAAGGATCGCCTGAGCCCAGCAAGTCAAGGCTGCCCTCCAGCCTGGGTGACAGAGTGAGACTCCAGCTCAAAAAAAAAAAAAAAAAGGGAAAAAACAGAGCAAATAGACAATCCACAGACTGGGAGAAAATATTTTCAAACTTTGCATCTGCCAAAGGGGATCCAGAGTTTGAAAATATATCCAGAATCTGTAAGGAACTCAAATGAATCAACAGGAGAAAAAAAAGAAAATTCCCTAAAAAGTGGGCAAAAGATATAAACAGACACTTCTCAAAGAAAGACATACAAACAGCCAAAACATGAAAAGAAGTTCAACATCACTAATCATGAGAGAATGCAAATCAAAACCACAATGAGATACTACCTTATGAGTCATAATAGCTCTAATTAAAAAGTCAAAAACAAGCTGGGTTTGGTGGCTCAGCCTGTAATCCCGCGCCTTTGGGAGGCTGAGGTGAGTGGATTGCCTGAGCCTGCGGGTTCGAGACCCACCTGGGCAGGAGACCTCATCTCTACAATAAATCAAAAAATCAGCCAGGCGTGGTAGCACGCGCCTGTAATTCCAGCTACTCGGAAGGCTGAGGCAGAAGGATCGCCGGAGCCCAGCAGGTCGAGGCTGCGGTGGCCGGGAGCGGCCACTGCACTCCAGTCTGGGCAACAGAGTGAGACTCCAACTCAAAAATAAATAAATAAATAAAATACGGAACTTTCTGGAACACTGGCATTCATCATCATCTCTTACTCTCATGTCAACACTTTAACGGTATCCATATTTTAGATGATAATAAATAACATCAACACAAACTGTGGACAGCCAATAAGCAGAAGAGCAGATCTTCCCACTCCAGATCCAGGGCTGTGACCATCTCACTGGAAGGACCAGATTCAAGTGAAGAGCGGGTCCTTCAATTGGTAACGAGATATGACGAGGTTGTGAAGTAAAATACTCAATTTAGATGAAGCTGATGTCGGATACCGTGCCCAGCTATCGTTTCTCTGACTTTACCTAATAATTTGTGTGTGTGTGTGTGTGTGTGTGTGTAGATGGGGGGGCAAAAAAACTAAAAATTAACTTTTGGAGGGCAGGCCCCTTGTAGTACAGGCATCCCCTGCTAGTTCAGTGTTCTAGGAACCCATCAGCATCAGTGTACCAGCTAGCGTTGTTGTGAGAGGCTGCATCTGGCTTCACTGAATAAAATAAAATATAAAAGTAAAAAAATATAAAAGTATTTATGTATAGTAAATAAATAAATTCCGAGTTTTGGGGGGGGCTCCACATATACATATATATTTTTTTTCCCCTCAGGGACCATAGTAAAAAATCCAACACTTGTAGGATAGGTGCTGTGGCTCATGCCTATAATCCCAGCAATTTGGGAGGGAGAGGAGAGAGGACTGCCTGAGCACAGAGGTTCGAGACCAGCCTGGCAATATGGCAAGACCTCGTCTCTACAATAAGTCAAAAAATTAGCCCAGGCATGCTGGTGCGTGCATGTAACTCCAGCTACCAAGAAGGCTGAGTAGAAGGATTCTCTGAGACCAGCAGGTCAAGGTTGTGGTAGCTGTGACAGTGCCACTGCACTCCAGAGTGGATGACAGAGTGAGATTCCAAATGGAAAAAAAATCTAACATTTGTGTCATCAAAGTCATAGGTGCAGAGGAGAAAGAGTATGAGCCTGAAAATAGCCAAAGAATAGATGAAAATGTCCCAAGTTTGGTGAAAGGCATAAGCCTATAGACTCAAGAAAGTTAACAAATCCTAAACAGGATAAACTCAAAGAAATACATAAGCAGACACAGTATAATAAAATTTCTAAAAATTAAGATAAAGAAAAAAATCCTGAAAGTAGCTGAAGATAAATTGCCTTTAGGGGAATAGTTACTTGAATAACAGTGGATTTCTCATCTCATAGAGGCCAGAAGGAAATGGAACATATTTTAAATGTTAGAAAAAAAAGAACCGTCAACCTTGAATTCAATAACCTGTAAAAATATCTTTCAGGAATGAAGAGGAAATCAAGACATTCTCAAAGAAAAACAGAATTAGCGGCCAGCAGATCGCTGAAGTCTTAAAGACTTAAAGGACGTTCCACACAGAAGGCAACTTGGAACTTCAGGAAGAAACAAGAATATCTTTCTCCTCATGAGTTTAGAATATCTAGAATATGAACAATTATCATAATACTATAAGAAAGGGATTGAAAGTAGTGGGAAACTGCCAGGAGAGGGAGAGAAAGGACACATTTCATCAATAAGGGAACCTGATCTCAAACCCGGTGAAGTAGGGAACAAAGTGAGGCGCAAACTTTACCTGTACAATGACCATTTGCATATCTAACCATGAAATGCACCCCACGTCTTAAAAAAAAAAAAAAAAAAAAAAA